CTGATCTTGGGCTCGAGGCCTGATCTTGGGCCTCGAGGCCTGATCTTTGGCCTCGAAGCCTGATCTTGGGCCTCTCGGCCTGATCGTGGGCCTCGAGGCCTGATCGTGGGCCTCGAGGCCTGATTGTAGGCCTCGAGGCTCTCTGTATGTTTCTGAAGAGTTTGACGAGGTTTGGGGCTCAACGCAGATAATAATAATATAATAATAATAATAATAATAATAATAATAATAATAATAATAATAATAATAATAATAATAATAATAATAATAATAGTAACAATAAAAATTTAATAATAATAATAATAATAATAATAATAATAATAATAATAATAATAATAATAATAATAATAATAATAATAATAATAATAATAATAATAAATAATAATAATAGTAACAATAATAATAATAATAATAATAATAATAATAATAATAATAATAATCTTTATTTCTACAAGTACATGATACAACTTATACAGACCATAGCTGACATCTGTGACACACTACTATGTACAAAAGCCCCTGGTTATGCAGAGCATTTCCCGCAAATTAGGTCAATTTTGTCCTCAGGATGCGACCCACACCAGTCGACTGGTTCTAGCACTGATCCTTGTGGCGTAGCACTGGTTCTAACACTGATCCTTGTGGCGTAGCACTGGTTCTAACACTGATCCTTGTGGCGTAGCACTGGCTCTAACACTGATCCTTGTGGCGTAGCACTGGTTCTAACGCTGATCCTTGTGGCGTAGCACTGGTTCTAACGCTGATCCTTGTTACACAGCACTGGTTCTAACACTGATCCTTGTTACACAACACTGGTTCTAACACTGATCCTTGTTACACAACACTGGTTCTAGCACTGATCCTTGTTACACAGCACTGGTTCTAACACTGATCCTTGTTACACAACACTGGTTCTAGCATTGATCCTTGTTACACAACACTGGTTCTAGCACTGATCCTTGTTACACAGCACTGGTTCTAACACTGATCCTTGCTACACAGCACTGGTTCTAGCACTGATCCTTGTTACACAACACTGGTTCTAGCACTGATCCTTGTTACACAACACTAGTTCTAGCACTGATCCTTGTTACACAACATGGTTCTAGCACTGATCCTTGTTACACAACACTGGTTCTAGCACTGATCCTTGTTACACAACACTAGTTCTAGCACTGATCCTTGTTATACAACACTAGTTCTAGCACTGATCCTTGTTACACAACACTGGTTCTAGCACTGATCCTTGTTACACAACACTGGTTCTAGCACTGATCCTTGTTACACAACACTGGTTCTAGCACTGATCCTTGTTACACAACACTGGTTCTAACACTGATCCTTGCTACACAACACTGGTTCTAGCACTGATCCTTGTTACATAACACTGGTTCTAGCACTGATCCTTGTTACATAACACTGGTTCTAGCACTGATCCTTGTTACATAACACTGGTTCTAGCACTGATCCTTGTTACATAACACTGGTTCTAGCACTGATCCTTGTTACATAACACTGGTTCTAGCACTGATCCTTGTTACATAACACTGGTTCTAGCACTGATCCTTGTTACACAACACTGGTTCTAGCACTGATCCTTGTTACATAACACTGGTTCTAGCACTGATCCTTGTTGCACAACACTGGTTCTAGCACTGATCCTTGTTACATAACACTGGTTCTAGCACTGATCCTTGTTACACATCACTGGTTCTAACACTGATCCTTGTTACACAGCACTGGTTCTAGCACTGATCCTTGTTACACAACACTGGTTCTAGCACTGATCCTTGTTACACAGCACTGGTTCTAACACTGATCCTTGTTACACAGCACTGGTTCTAGCACTGATCCTTGTTACACAACACTGGTTCTAGCACTGATCCTTGTTACACAACACTGGTTCTAGCACTGATCCTTGTTACACAACACTGGTTCTAGCACTGATCCTTGTTACATAACACTGGTTCTAGCACTGATCCTTGTGGCGTAGCACTGGTTCTAACACTGATCCTTGTTACACAGCACTGGTTCTAGCACTGACCCTTGTTACACAACACTGGTTCTAGCACTGATCCTTGTTACACAACACTGGTTCTAGCACTGATCCTTGTTACATAACACTGGTTCTAGCACTGATCCTTGTTGCACAACACTGGTTCTAGCACTGATCCTTGTTACACAACACTGGTTCTAGCACTGATCCTTGTTACACAACACTGGTTCTAACACTGATCCTTGTTACATAACACTGGTTCTAGCACTGATCCTTGTGGCGTAGCACTGGTTCTAGCACTGATCCTTGTTACACAACACTGGTTCTAGCACTGATCCTTGTTACACAACACTGGTTCTAGCACTGATCCTTGTTACACAACACTGGTTCTAGCACTGATCCTTGTTGCACAACACTGGTTCTAGCACTGATCCTTGTTACACAACACTGGTTCTAGCACTGATCCTTGTTACACAACACTGGTTCTAGCACTGATCCTTGTTACATAACACTGGTTCTAGCACTGATCCTTGTGGCGTAGCATTGGTTCTAACACTGATCCTTGTTACACAGCACTGGTTCTAGCACTGATCCTTGTTACACAACACTGGTTCTAGCACTGATCCTTGTTACACAACACTGGTTCTAGCACTGATCCTTGTTACATAACACTGGTTCTAGCACTGATCCTTGTTACACAACACTGGTTCTAGCACTGATCCTTGTTACACAACACTGGTTCTAGCATTGATCCTTGTTACACAGCACTGGTTCTAACACTGATCCTTGTTACATAACACTGGTTCTAGCACTGATCCTTGTTACACAACACTGGTTCTAGCACTGATCCTTGTTACACAACACTAGTTCTAGCTTTGATCCTTGTGGCACAGCAGTGATCCTTGTGGCACAGCAGTGATCCTTGTGGCACAGCAGTGATCCTTGTGGCACAGCACTAGTTCTAGCTTTGATCCTTGTGGCACAGCACTGATCCTTGTGGCACAGCACTGATCCTTGTGGCACAGCACTATTTCTAGCTTTGATCCTTGTGGCACAGCACTGATCCTTGTGGCACAGAACTGATCCTTGTGGCACAGCACTGATCCTTGTGGCACAGCACTGATCCTTTTGGCACAGCACTGATCCTTGTGGCACAGCACTGATCCTTGTGGCACAGCACTGATCCTTGTGGCACAGCACTGATCCTTGTGGCACAGCACTAGTTCTAGCTTTGATCCTTGTGGCACAGCACTGATCCTTGTGGCACAGCACTGATCCTTGTGGCACACCACTGATCCTTGTGGCACAGCACTGATCCTTGTGGCACAGCACTGATCCTTGTGGCACACCACTGATCCTTGTGGCACAGCACTGATCCTTGTGGCACAGCACTGATCCTTGTGGCACACCACTGGCCACTCTCCTCTGTTCGGAAAATTATTAGATTCACAAAACATCGTTCGCCATCCATTCAGACAATTTCCGGACTGGCATTCTTCCCCCTTCGTTGTCTCTGTATTGCATGAGCAATTGCTGTATCTCTGCCTGTTTCTCCATGCTGTTGTTTACTCTCTCTTGCAGCACGGCAAGAGAGAATATTCTTCTCTTATATAATGTATCCTGCCTGCTTT